AGTTTTAGGTTTCACATTTAAGTCTTTGATCCATCTGGAGTTAGTTTTTATGTATGGTGTGAGGTACAGATCTTGTTTCATTTTTCTGCAAATGGATATCCAATTTTTCCAGCACCATTTGTTAAAGAGACCATCTCTTCCCCATTTAATGGATTTTAGCCCTTTGTCAAAGATCAGCTAACCATAGATTGGTGGATCTATTTCTGGTTCTCAATTCTGTTCCACTGGTCTTTGTGTCTGTTGTTGTACCAAGACCAGGCTGTTTTGATACTGTGGCTGTATAGTAGGTTTTAAGATCCCGAAGTGTGAGATCTCCCACTTTGTTCTTCAGTAGTGCTTTGCTTATCCGAGGTCTCTTTCCTTTCCACATAAAGTTAGTGATTGTTTTTTCCATATCCTTAAAGAATGTTGATGGGTCTGGATTGGACTGCATTGAATGTATAGATCAGCAGTGGGTTTTTTTGTAGAACCGTGGTGAAGCACAATTCGAACCCATCAAAAGGTCAGCAGTTTGAACCCACCAGCTGTTACTACCTAGTGATCTGCTCCAGTAAAGGTGTAGGAAACCTCCTGGGGCAGTTCTCCTCTGTCTTAGAGGGTTGCTGTGAGTCGGAATCTACTCGATGGTACCCAGCAACAAGCCGTAGAGTGAGGTGCTGAAGCTCTCGCAGCTGAAGGCTGGTCTGAATGGCTGGAGTCCAGGAACCAAAGCATCTTCTATAGAAATTTCATATTAGGACCTTTGATGACAGGGTGTGATATTTTATGTGGGTTAGTCACACCTGCTGTGCATGCATCCATGGGCTCCTGGCTTCTCTGGTGGCTCTCTCTTCTTGATATAAAGGTAGTGTTCTGCTTATTGCCAGTGTGTATAACTGAAGCGGCTGCGAGGCTCATGACTGCCTGAAAGGAGGCAAAATCTTTCTCTCCCTGCAATCTTCGAGACACTGATAAAATTTTTAAGTCTCAGCCTTCAAGTCAGAGGCAGCTGGAAGCTTTGCTCTGCTTTGTAGTAGCATTTGCTAGTTCTCTTACTTGTGAGCAGTTTCTTTTCTCCTCGAAAGAATTGTTTTGGTAGAAATTTTCGAAAATAAAGATAACCAGGTTTTTTTTTTTAAACATAATGGAATCTGTCAGTTAAGCCTCAAATTGTTAGCCAAGCAGCCAGCCTAATGGTGATCCTGTGTCTTTCTTTTTCCTTCCAGTCTTCCAGCAGCGAGAGTGGCGGCAGCAGCAGCAGCAGCATCAACAGCCCGGACAGGGCCAGTGGGCCAGAGAACAGCTTCCACCAGGCCATCGCTGGCTCTGGCCCCAACACGCCCCAGCCAGCCCCCGAGCAGTCTGCCCTCTGTCAAGGCCTTTACTTCCACATCAACCAGACCCTGAGGGAGGCCCACTTCCACAGCCTCCAGCACCGAGGCCGGCCTCCAACATGATGCCGCGGCAGCTTGCCTTCTGTGAAGGGACAGCGCTGTGCAGAGTGGATGTTTCAACTTAAGATCTGTTTTAAAGAATTGCACAAAAAAAAAAAAAAAAGAAAAAAAAAAACGCCTGTTGGCTTTTCAGTCTATATTTGAAATAACAGCTTAACAGGCAGTTGTTTACTTGTGGTTTTGCTGCACTATTACAGTTTCAAAGGGGCTTTGAAGCAATTTTTTACAGGATTCTTTTGAGGGTGGGTATCAAATCCGTGTCAAGGTCATGGTATGAGGAAATCTCATCTGTGTGTTGAACCCATAGTATGTCCAGTTCAGACTGATTTCCAGATCTGTCAATTAGAAGTTCTTTGTGTAAAAAACCTTTTAAAATGCGGGACCTTCCATTTTTTAATTCAATAAACTAGTAAAGAATATCTAGTTTCCATGAAAAAAACCTAAGTTGTGTTTCCTAAATATAGAAAGCTTGATTCAGTCTTGCACTGAAATTAACTGCCATACTACCTCTTAGTATGTAGATGTCCTATAGAATGGAGATCGAATCCCATTTAGACCAAGAGAAACACCCTCCCTCTGTGTTATGTATTTGTATTGCTGGAGGGAGTGTTTTCAGACTCTTCTAAACCCAGATGACTTCATTCTTTCCCGGGAGTCTGCATTTCAGACTCAGTAGAAAAACACTGTACAGTTCCCAAGAAAACAGGAAATACAGAACAACGTTCTTACTCACGAACTTGTTACTTTAGCAGCCTAAGTGATGTCATTGGTAGTTCCACCCCATTGTGTTGAGAACTGAGGCACCGATGGATGCTGATACAGTGGAAGCTGCCTGAACTGATGTCTGAAGGAACAGGTGCTGTGAAGCCACTGGATAAGGATTCACCTTCCACTTAAAGTCACCTCTCACAGTAACTAGGGACCACATTCTATCCCTGAAATGGGAAGGATCAATAAGGCTTTGAAAGAAAGGAGCAGAGGCACCTGCAGGAGTGCAGTGTTTATTGAGAGAGCGAGGGAGAAGGTTCCAGGCTATTTAGTCATACTCGAGAGCCAGCCGAGTTTGAATAATGATGGCGTGGACGTGTCTTCCTCTTCACTGACAAGCTGTCGGAACAAGGAGCCAGCGTGCATTGGATCATCTGCCCTGGAGAGAGCCAGGGGTACAACCTGCCATTGGATGCAGAGGACAGTGCCTTAGAGTCCCACCGAATCCTGCCTGCTCTCACCCGCTTGTCCACTCTGCATGGAAGCACACACAGCAGACCCAGAAGACACGGACAGCTCTAGTAAGAGGACTCTGCTGTCTGTCAGGATTTGAAAAGGACATTGGGAACAGAATGAGACTGGAAAATGAGGACTGTATCAGGAGAAGGGCAAACGTTGGCTCCTCCTTTCCATGGTTTGATCCTCTGATACGGACAGAATTATAGGTCAGCTACTTCGAGTGAACATTACGTGTTCTGGGGAAAGTTACAGGACAGGGCCCGGATGGATGGAGCAGATGGTCTGAGCAAGAACTTGTTCTTCCACCATCATCTCCCAAGTTCTAAAACCAGGTGGTTGATGAAGATTTTGAATCTTAATGGGACTGATGGCGGGGAATACGGAAAGGATACATTGCTAATATTTCTAACAAGAAAGCAAACAACCACCAAATGGTGTAAAAAGACAAGCTGTTTGAGCTCTCAAACACACGTGGACACACACAATTCAGAAATACCCAGAAGGACTCCTGCAGGCTTAATGGATGCCATCCTACTGAAACAAAACGATATTAAGAACAAGTCAAAACTTAAGAGAGCAAATTTCTTTTATTTCCCACCCAACTAAAAGTTTTATGTGGGGTGGAACATCTTACCAGTCCAAAATAAACATTTTTTTCTTCCAAATAAATACAGTCATTATACGGGGTTGGCCATTCACTGATTTACCCTTTTAATACAAGAAATAATCACCATCCTGTCTTCGGGACTTTCTGCAGCCCTGTGGCAGCCTGAAATGCATTCCATGAGGAGGCTGCTTGATAGTGTAAGTGGGCATCTTTTAAAATGTCTAACAGCTCAACCTAGTAAGACCTTGTACTTCTCTATCGCGCCGCCATTAAAAGCAGCATTAGTGCATTTTGTCATTCAGTTCTGTATCTGTTATTTAACGTGGAGACTGATGATGGGGTGGTTTGGTGGGAAACAGCCAGGATGGAGAGGGAAGACTTATTTTTTGCACTCACCTGGGCTTTTGTTTCGGCATTTCTGTTGGTCAGCCTGGCCTTTCGACTGCTTGTCATGCTCAGTGGAAGCAGCCCAAACCTCGGGACAGGATGAAGGAACTTAAGCAGCATGAACAGAAATTACGTGGCTCAGCCAAAGCCTCATAAACTCACCTGATCTGACTAGTGGCCAGTGGCAGGATGTTGTGGGGTTCTTGGGAGTTGAATGTACTGCTCCTTGCGGTGAACTGATTCTCTGTACCAGTAACCAGTCCAAATAGAACCTGGCAGATGAGAAATGGAGCACAACGTAGAAGCTGGGCTTCTACTGTCCAGTCAGGAGAGACTTCCTTGTCTTACTGGTCAATAGCTGCCCTGCCTCTAGCCTCTAGCCTCTAGCCGTCGTTTTGGGAAGGCTCTTCTGAGTGTGCTCATGCTTCAAAATGACTCCCACTGCCCATAGTCGGCAGCTCTGTGTTAGGTAAAACTTTAATCATCCCTACCTACAGCCAAAGAAGTCAGGTCAAGGTTGCCACAGCCCGTGAGGTATTTCCTCATGCTGCCCTTAGCCTTCTAACTACGCTCCGCTGTTTGTCCCTGCCCTCCCAGCACTGCCTCCTGGGTGGTCAGTGCTGTGGCAGGTTTACTCTGCCATGGGAGCTGGTGGCACTTCACTCACATGAAGCATGTGTTTGATGTCACTTACAGACGTGCGCTGCACCAGGCGATGAAGGTTGCTGTTGAGGTGTGGCGTGAACACATCCAGGTCAAAAGGGTCAATGAGTCCCTCCAAGTAGTCGGTGACTTTCTCGGTTCTGGAAGGATGTGTAGAATTAGTCTCCAAACTTTTTCTAGGACAGGCAATCTGATGGTATTTTCATGCCATAGAAAAGCCTAGAAGTGGACTTATTCTACTTAATGGCCAGCTTAGTACCAGTGTGCTTGAGTAATCCTTGAGCATTTTACCCTGACATGAGATACAGCAAGACCTGTGAAAGGCGGAACCTATCAGAGAAGGAAAATGCAAATCTTTCCCACTAAAAACAAGTGGTAGAAGAGTCATAGAGTGTACCTTGTCAGAGGCAGAGAACTTGCAAGACCCATGAGTTCCGGCTCTCTCAGGTTTCACTGTCTAAAAGACACTCCTGTCCCATGTTTTCGCTTTTAGGGAAGGGACTGAGGGCTCAAATTATACCCACCAGTTGCTAGACTGACTCAGAAGTAGAATGAGATCTACTGCACCTGGTCCAGGAGTTGGCTGCTATTTAACTTGCTGGTAATAGGAGCACTTCCTGTGTCAAACACATGAGCAGAGAAGCCGAAGCCGACCTCTCCAGTGGCTTCCTAGAGAGCCTACTACCTTGGGAGCCCCTATGGGGAGGGAGATACGGCACCTGGAGTCCTGTTTGCCACGGCCACTCTTCACCTCCTCGCTCCTGACTGTCAGAACGATGCTGAGGTAACGCAGGTCGTAAAGGAGCTGCAGTGCCTGATTCTGGGTTACTGGAAGCGCACCTTCCTTCTGCAAATGAATTCCCGACCCCACCCATTAGGAGGTGGCTGGTTATATGGGCATAACAGCATAACAGCTTCAGTTCTGGTCATGTTACAACCTGCTGTTTCAGAAGCAGATGTTTTTTATAGTCATGGCCAGTTGAGGCGCACAACAAACACTAAACAGGTTATGCTAGATAAATGGTCGTAAACAGAACCCAAACCTAACAGCCAGGCACAGAGCCAGCCCTTAGGGAAAGGCTGCAGGTGCTTGAGATGACAATTTGAACTCAATTGATAAGAAAAACGCTTCCTGCATGAAAGAGAACACTTCTTGGGATTGTTCCCCCGATCAAGACTTTGAAGAAGGGGAGCCAAGTTTAATCATGGGATAAGCTTCTCCTTGTCTTAGCTGTCACTAATGGATTATAAGCCATGGGCAGAATGCTTCTCAGCAGGTGAGATGGGAGTGGAGGGATGGGAGGGCCCTACTATGAGGACCTCCTCCACTCATTACCCCAGGTGGTTCCTCCAGAGAGGAAGCCAGGCCAAGCGGTTTTTGAGGGCATGTTTGAGCCCGCGGAAGCAGGCCATGATCTGCCCAGGGCCTGCACTGAGCCAGGCACATGTGTTCTCTCCACTCGTCCCGAGCAGCCTTTCCAGTGAAGACCTCTTCGACCCCGGCGAGTGGGTGTCATTAAACTCAGAGCTGGAAGTCACTGCTAACTATGGGGAAAAATGGGAAAAAATTCTTAACACCTACTTTAGTCTGTTTTTCTTCGGGGAGTTTCTCATAGGCCGCCACTATCTGATCCATACAGCTTTTCAGCATCTCCTGCAACGTCACCTTTGGCAGCGCCTGGCCGCCTACCCGATTAATTTCCTGGCATAAGCTAAACAGGAAGGACTGTACGTACCAGGAAGGCTGAAAGCACAAAGGAATGTCAGGTTGCCAACTTGTTCCAATTAAACGAGACATGTTACAAGGGGATCCGTTTAACCTCACAAGGCTTATATGCCAGTATCTTGACCTCTCAAATCAGTCTCGACAGGCAGATCGGTTAACAGATGCAAATCCTTCAGTTTAAGTGACATGTGCTGTCATTTCCTCCTTTGAGGGGGGACCAACCCCTAACCTGGCTGGTGGCACTGTGCTTTCCTGCTGTTCTCATTTCAGGGATACTAAAACCAAAAAACGAAAGCCACTGCCAAGAAGTTGATTCTGACTCATAGCGACCCTACAGGACAGAGAAGAACTGCCTTGTAGGGTATTCCAGGCTATAATCTTTACAGAAGCAGATTGCTACATCTTTCTCCTGCAGAGTGGCTGTTGGGTTGGGGCTGCCAACCTTTTGGTTTACAGCCAAGTGCTTAACCAGTGCACCACCAGGCTGCTGTTTCAGGTGCTTCTGTAGTGAACACTGAGCCTGTGCTACGGAAGGAAAGACATATTCAGGGGTATCCTCTGAGAACGGTTTGCTGTATTTCCCAGTGGGCTGGCTGCTCTGCCCCCAAGGGGAGAGTTCCAGACACGACTTCCACTACTCCTCAGATGCTATGCTTGGACTGACTTCGTAAAACCTTCCCCCTCCCACAAAGCAGGTTTGTTTTCCAGCCCACGGTCTCTCGCACTGTGGCACCTGTTACCTGTACAGGGAGTCGGATCTTGGAGGTGACGCTGCTGCCAGACTCTGTCTCCTCCTGAATTTCTAGTTCATCCCAGCTGGTGGCCGTGGCCAGAACTGAACCAGCCTCATCTAATAGTAATGACTGGGTGAATCCATGAACCAAAACCTGGTAACAAAAGGCAAATATCCTTAGAAGCCAATTTAGGTCCTTCATAGTGTGTGCTTGAAATCAATGGAACAGAACAGCATCTGCGACTCGGGGCCCGTGTTGGGTAGCGAGCGGCTGACATGAGTCTTCTTTTGGCTCATTACTGGTGTAAGTGATGGGAATCCTATTGCTAACTGTCCTTGTAAGGGACCAGTGGGGACTAGTGGGAACAGGACGTTGACCCTGAAGAGCAGAGAGTAACAGACCCTTGCCCAAAGAGAAAGTCTTTCCTTTCCTTTGAAGGGGAAAAAAATCGAGGATTTTTTGTCTATAAAATCTAGGCTGAGTATGAAGAGACTTTTTAATCTGTGCAGAGATAAAGCGACAGCAATCATATGGAACAGGAACTGTTACTCCCTTTCTGTTAAAGGGCATTACTGAGGTCGGCGAGGCTGGGACACGGGCAAGGTGAGAGGAAGGGGACACCTGGTGAGCTTGGCAAGAATAAGCAGAAGGAAACAGGGAAAGCACAGGGCCACCTGCCAGCTCAGGGAGCTGGTCCTCTCAGACCAAGGAGGGAATGACAGCAGCCCACTTAACAGAGGGACTGGATCTCTTAACTGCTCTGTCACTCACTCTTACGACGGCCGAGCTCCAGATGCGGTAAGCCACCACGCTCTGCTGCAGCAGGAGCTCTCTGACTTCCTGCCACTTTGTCTGCAAAGGCATTACTTCCTGAGCTCTCCCCTTTGCCTGTTTCTTCAGAGCCCTTGCCTCCTGGGCTGGTTTCTCGGAGCTCCCTGATTTTCCCGAGATGCACTGCTTCAGGTGGGGACACAATTCTCCCAGGGACTGGCAGAGCCTGGCCATGAAGAGGACTGCATACAGTGTGACACTGGTGAGGACCTCCTGCTGCCCATGTATGACCTCTTCAACACTCCGCAGCTCAGCCCGGATGCAGGCTGCGATGTGCTGGATGCAGGCCACGGAGTGTGTCTGCAGCATCTCCTGCACGGTCCCGGCATCCGCATAGCGGTCAAAGGCGGAGTTCTTGGGGGAGATGTCCTTGGGCAGTGATGCATCATCAGAGGGCAGGTAAGCCAGGAGGTCGTCCAGTTGAACCTTCAGTTTAGAATCGAGGGCAGAGCAGAAGCTCTGCACGCAAGGGCTAATGGCGTGAGCTTTCATGGAGAGGCCACTGTTGGCGAATTGAGCACGGTTTGCCACACTGACCCAGGCAGCATCGGGAGGCAAGTCATTCGGACTCTCTGTCCAGAGGAAAAGAGACATGTTGTGCTCAAAGTGGATGTGCTTGTTTGGAGTGGAGCTGTGAGTGCTGGATGTGAGCTCTTGCAAAGCTGAGCGCAGGAGCTCTGTGGAGCTACTGGAGATGGAATCGAAGCCTTCCTTCATCAAAGTCTGAAAGAGAAGGAGAGGAGAGTTCTAATCACTTAAAGGTAACTGCAAGGCAAGAGTACCAAGCAGCAGCAGTTAATCCTCGCATTCACAGTGTTCTCCACCATGTTCTGAAAGATGACGGGGTGGTGGCAGAGAACAAGGAAGCCATTACTAATGGACAAGGCCATGTTCCTGACCAACTGAGAGTCCTGGTCTCCTTTTCTACTCCAGAGCCTGGATCTCTATTAATGTCCATAATTCATTTCTCTAGAAGAACAACCAGGGGAAAGTAATTAGGGAAAGAATACAATTAAGTGGCAAGAGCCCAAGACGAGGAGAGACCAATGGCTGAGTGCATGACCAGGACTGGTGGTGAGCGGCTGCACCTCAGATGGCCCAGCTCACCTGTACTCGGCCAAGGAACAGCTGCTGCATCAAGTCTTCCCAGAACAAGAGTGGCTTCTCCAGAAGCCTCTGGCATGTCACATCCCAGCTGTGACTGGTGGACTCATTGGCAAGTAATTCCCATATGGCATCACGGATCCCAGCAAGGCCTTTCATGTTCTTTACACACATGAGCAGGCTGGTGAGCCCATTTTTAATGTCTTCATTACACCTACAACAAAATTGTTTTTCTTGAGCTCCTTTAGTTTTGTGGATTGTGCACCTTTATTAAGAAAGACAGCAGGATCCCACTTCAAAACTTCTTACCTGGTCCTTCCTACCCAGAATGTAGCAGTGCAGAGACCCTCTGGTTGGATGGGGGCGTGGAGCCTGTAGCCCTTTCCATGGGCCTACCCTTGCTGTCCTGAGGTACCTGCCAGGACCTCTAGAGCCCAATGGAATGGCTTCAAAATCCACCCCCTGAATAAAACTCAGGAGTTGCAGAAGTCTTGCATAAAGAGACCTTACAGCCCTCTCCAGAGTATTTTGAAAAATTCCTTTGCGTCTCCCGCAGCAGGTGCTGCACTGCCACGCAGGAGTGATGGACCACTGAGCGACTGGCACACCTGACTGCACTACCACGTGGAGCAGCATCCACAAGCTCAAGCTCAAGTTCATCCCTCATGACACCTCCATGGCCGTACACAAGGTTGCAGAGCTGCTTCCTGCCAGCCTCTGGAAAGCTCTGTCTGGCTACTTACATGTGGATCCATTTCTGCAGTGTGTCCTTCAGGTATTCCTGGCTGATGGGATGTGCAAGGGTTCGAAGAGCTGGCTGGAACTCAACAATGGAGGCTGGTAGGTGTTTGAACCAGCTGCAGAGCTTCATCTCCTCTTGCAGAACACTGATGCCTTTTCCTAGAGAGAAATCCCAGTGAGCAGCCCTCGTCATCCCCTGGGTTACAGTGACAGCTCTCCCGAGGGAACTCTCAGCATCAACTCTAGCCCCACAAGGATGCCCTGTCACGTAAAAGCCAACTGCATTCATTTAATTCCAGTTAAGGTCAGCACTACCAAATAACAGTAACTATGCAAAGGCATTCGCCTGTGTGGGTCATAACAAATTATGGATAGCATTGCAAAGAATGGGAATTCCAGAACACTTCATTGTGCTCATGAAGAACCGAGAGGCAGTCATTCAGACAGAACATGGACATAATGCATGGTTTAAAATCAGGAAAGGTGTGCATCCAGGTAGTATCCCATCACCATACTTATTCAATCTGTATGTGAGCAAATAATCTGAAGAGCTGGACAACGGGAAGAAGAACATGGCAACAGAATTGGAGGGAGATTCAATAACAACCTGCCATGTGCAGATGACACAACCCTGCTTGCTGAAAGTGAAGAGGACTTAAAGCACTTACTGATGAAGATCAAAGTATGGATGATACCTCAACATGAAGAAAACAAAAATCCTTATAACTAGACCAGGAAGCAACATCATGATAAACACATGACAATTGCTCTGTCTGGCTACTTAAATGTGGCCAACTTCTTCAACTTCAACTTGAAGTTGTCAAGGATTTCATTTTGCTTGGATCCATAATCAATGCCCATGAAAGCAGCAGTCAAGAAATGGAATGACATACTACACTGGGCAAATCTGCTGCCAAAGACCTCTCTAAAGTGGTAAAAAGGAAAGATGTCACTATGAGGACTAAAGTTATCTGACCCAAGTCATGGTATTTTTGGGTTTTGTCATATGCATGAGAAAGCTGGGTAATGAAGAAGTACTTAAGAAGAACTGATGTATTTGATTTATGGTGTTGGTAAGAATACGGAATATATCGTGGACTGTAAGAAGAAGGAACCAATCGGTCTTGGAAGAAGTAAAGCCAGAATGCTCCTTACAAGCAAGGATGGTGAGCCTTCATCTCACACACTTGCAACGTGTTATCAGAAGAGCCCAGTCCCTGAAGAAGGCTATCATGCTTGGTAAAGTAGAGGGTCAGTGAAAAAGAGGAAGACTCAATGAGATGGATTGGCATACTGGTTGCAACGATGGACTCAAACATAACTGTGATTATGAGGATGGAGCAGGACTGGGCAGTATTTTGTTCTGTTGTACACAGTGTTGCTATCAGTTGGAAGTGATCTGACTGCACCTAAGAACACCACCACCGCCAAATAAAAGTAAAGGATGCATGTGGGCATACAACAGAAGGGCTGTGCTAAGCCTGGAAGGTACAGGAGGCTATCCATTGTGCACAATAAAGTCCAAGCTCCCTAGCATGGCCCTCAGTCCTCTACTCCTTTGGCCATGTCTCCTCCAGTCTCTATTCATACTACTCTTCCCTTCCCCCAATGCCCCTCAGCCTTGCCAGCTGTCTTCCAGTCCCTCAAATATACTAACGTGCCTCTTGAGTCTTCCTTGCCCTCTTCACCTGGCTAACTCTCATTCAAACTTCAGGTTTTAGTTAAGTAACATTTCCTCAAGGAAGCCTTCTCTGACTGTGGTGATGTCCCTCTGTTTACTGCTCCCAAGGCTACTTGTATTCTGCCTTATAGCAAGGAACAATATTGATATTAAATATTGCATATTCACAAGCTTAATATCTGGAGCCCTGGTGGCACAATGATTAAATGCTCGGCTGTTAACTGAAAGGTCGGTGGTTCAAACCCACGAGCAGCTCTGCAGGAGAAAAGACCTGGCAATCTGCTCCCTTAAAGACAACAGTCTAGGAAACTCTGCAGAGGAGGTCTGCTCTGTGACATGGGGACACTGTGAGTCAAAATCAACTTGAAGGTGCCTAATGACAACAACTCCACCACTAGACTGTGACTTCATGTAGGTGGGGGGTTGATACCTGTCTAGTTCACTGTGTATCCTCAGTCTAGCACAGTAGCTAGCACAACACAAGTAGATACTCAGTAAATACCAGTTGAATGAACCAGGAAAAAAAAAAAAAAAAGATTGATTAAGAGCTCACCAGTAGGATGCTGGCCTGTGATGGTCTCCAGAGTGGAAAAGAGCAAGCCACATGGCAGTGAGGGATCTGGCAGCTGACCTTCTGGTAAAGTGTAGAAAAGTGCATGTGCCTGGTTCAAAGTGGTGGCCAGCAACTCCACTAATGAGCAAATCTGAGCCTTGGCACCAACACCTACGAGAAGAAATCACCCTCCTTTAAACTGTGTCCTTTAGTGAAGTTAAAGACAGATGATGCTTCACTCTTCCCCAGCCCACAGTTAAGGAGCAAATTCCGCAGAGATGCTTCACCCACCCTGGTGTGGCTGGTTGAGAAGTTTCTGGATTGCTGCCTTTCTGGCCAACAGGAAGTCGGCTAGTGCCTGGCGAGGAGAACTCTCTTCTAAGAGCATCACAGAGCACAGGGCCTCGGCGGCAGCTTGGTCAGACACAGCTTGGCATTTGAGCAGCATCTTGCTTTCATGCAGGATGGTTGACCTGGAGAAGTAATGACAAAAGGTCAAGAGAGAATTTTTTCCATCTTGGGAGAAAAACCTTGATACATCAGGAAAGAAGACATACTCCAAAAAACTGCAGTGGTAGAGTGACCATAACCAGAGGTCTTTAAGGTGGATCCACTTACCGGAAGTGGCTGGCTGCTGCCACCTGCCGGATGAGGATGGGGAATCGGGAGAGGACGGGGCTATATGGGGAACTAGAAGAATCCAGATGGAGCAGTCTGTGAAGGTGGCAGCAGAGCAGGTAAAACTGTGTGGCATGGAGATACTGAGAGGCCTCCACCGAGCTCCACATTTTTTCTGGGATTTCTAGCAGCAGCTTGATCTGGGCAGCCATGGTATAGAACTTCTCCAGAGATGGCTGCTGTGGCTGCGTGGAAGGGCAAAAAACTAAGTCAGAACAAACAAAGAGCAGGTCAACGTTCTCAGACGTGTGGAGAAATGTAGGGCAATTTCAGGGCACCAATCTTTCTTTAAGCCTGATTCAGCATCACTCAGTGGGGAAGAGAAG